GTCAAATGTGTGTTTTTTTAGCTATAACCTAGAAACATGGCATGTAAATTTCATAGGTAACACTTTACAATAAAGTCCCATTTGTTAACATTAATTAATGCATCAGCTTACATGAACTAACAATATGCAATATATTTTTTACAGTGTTTAAAAATATACATACTTTTTTGTTGTCAGTTTTTTAAATTTACATCTGAAGTATCCTGCTCCGTGCAGAGTGTAGTCTCACGGGTCAAAACAAACACCACAAAGTGTCAGTGATAGTTTTTATTTTGCCACTAGAGACTCATCTCATACTGTATAATGATAGCGGACCCTTTTCAGCCGCTCCTGCAGCGGACACAATCGATAAAAACAATCGGTGTGGATTTTTGCCGATAACCGATAGTTCCAGTAATCGGTTATCAGTGCCATTAAAACCGATAAAAACAAAACCGATCAATCAGTCGACCTCTAATAATTTATCTCCATAATTTAAAAAGAATAAACCTTACATCATTGACACTGGCGAGACTCCCAAATTGCTAAAAGTTTTTATTTTCATAAATTGGCAGTGGATGTCAAACCTGTCTCAGTCAAACCTCTGGCACATTGTTTTTGACTGAGATCTTACGTTCATACATTTACATTACACAGATATTACTCACTGCGTAAAATCTCATTAACCGGGCCGATGCTGGCACATTGCTGGCATCGTCTTCACCGAGCTGGCTTTTAATGATGAGGTCATAGAGTGGGGACAAGGCAGGTACTGACTCAAACACTGGGATACCTATAACAAGGAAACAGTTTTACTGCTCAAATACACACTTTAATGCCTTTAGTTATTTCACCAAAAATGGCATGTACACCATCTCCTCATCCTAAATGCATTTTAGAATGCCATGACAAATCCAAACAATTGGTTCGAATGTTGCATCAGCCCAATCCTATGGTGCGTGTGGTCTAATATTTCTTCAGTTCCCCACTCACAGTAGTTACTACCTGCAATTAGTTCCCATTTACTGTTTGAGGCATTGAAGACAAAATTTTAACTGTGGTTTCAACTTATTCTGCCACATATGACCTCTCATTATATGTGTATGAAGACATTATGAAGAAAAGTATAGCTTGTAAAGAAGTAGCAGAGATTGTTGGTGCCTACGGTGAGTATACGTAGCCAGGGTTAGTGTCACTCCACACTACCATCTGACTCAGGCAGGGGTGTGGTGTGTTGATTGACATGTGATGCTAAACTGGTGGCTATAAGTGCACATTATTTGTTAGCTGTAATATCCTTGTAGCTGCAGTGCTAAAACAAAGAATCAAATTTAGAGTAGAAATGAGAGCACATCTGAGTGTACAGAATGACAGACGAAAGATTCTGTGTCTGATTCATGAAGCTGTCTTTGACATCAGCAGTAAAGAATCAGCTTCATCTACACGGACACAATCTCCGCCCACTAGCCCATTATTGACATTCCATATGCATGACATATGTCCCCCTGTCCCAGGTCTCCCTCTTACCTGTAATGCTGCTCATTTTGTGAATGAAGGACAGTGAGAAGGGCATGGGTCGCTTCATCTTCAGGAAGAAACAAGCTGGCAGGTCTACACAGTTAGAGTTCGATGCTGGAGAAAATGTCGGAGTCCTAAAATGAAAAGGGGGGGATTACACTCTCTGTTGTCTCTATAAATTATTACCTTAAGTTTATATGTAAATGATAGTTTAAACCAATACATACAAATGAATTGCACATGCTACATACATTCACAGAAACAGACAGGCTTAGCAGGCATTGTCTTTTTACTTAAAAAAACCAAAAAAAAAAACCAAAGGTTTACCCTTTGTTATCCACTGGGTGAGATCCGGTGATGAGAGGAGCGATGGGAAGTTTGTAGACAGATGATGTTCCCTCCACAGTCACGGACACACCCACTCCGAGATAATGAGGGACTGAATATAAAATAAATAAATAGATAAATAAATAAATAGATCTGTCAATAAAGTTTAGGTTTATATATGTATACACACACACATTATATATATATATATATATATATATATATATATATATATATATATATATATATATATATATATATATACACACACACACACACACACACACATACATACATATATACATACACACACTTAGATATTTGGACAATGACAGAGTTTTTGTGACTTTGCCTTTATACACCAGCACAATGGATTTCAAACAAAACAATCAAGATGTGATCAAAGTGACTTTCAGCTTTATTTTAAGAGGTTCCACAAAAATATGACATTTACCATTTCAGGAATTACAGCCATTTTAAGCAAAGTACTTCCACTTTCAGGGGCTCAAAGGTATTTGGACAATCAACTGACAAGTTAATTGACCAGGTGCGGTCCAGTGCAGCTGCATTTTGAATCAGTTGCAGAGGACGAATGGCGCTCAGAGGCAGACCTGCCAGGAGTGAGTTGCAGTAGTCTTGAAATGACAAGGGACTGAACAAGCACCTGTGTAGCCTGTGTGGAAAGAAATGGATGAATCCTTCTGATGTTATAAAGGAGAAATCAGATTAGCAATGTCACATGAAAAGGACAGTTGATTGTCTACGGTTACCCCAAGGATGCGTGCAGTAACTGAAGGTGAGATCAGAGAATTGTCCAGGGAGATTGCAAGATATGACATGGGGATGAATCACCTGGGATGAACAGCAGTTCAGTTTTGCTGCTATTAAGTTTCAGCTGATGAGCTGTTATCCATGATGAGATGTCTGCCAGACATGCTGATATCTGAGCAGAAATATGAGTGTCTGAGAGAGAGAAGGAGAGGATGAGTTGAGTGTCATCTGCATAGCAGTGGTTTGAAAACCCACGTGAGGATATTATCTCACCAAGAGATCGAGTATAAAGCATATAACAGTATAAAAACAGAAGATGACCAAGTACTGAGCCTTGTGGGACATCAGTGGAGAGCCTGCAGGGAGCAGATGTGGATCTCCTCCATGTCACCTGATATGACCGTCCTTCCAGGTAGGAAGCAAACCACTGTAATGCTGCACCACAAATTCCTAGGCTCATGAGTGTGGACAATAGAGTCTTGTGGTTCACTGTGTCAAACGCTGCTGAAAGGTCAAGAAGGATGAGGACTGAAGATAGTTTGGCTGATCTAGCGGCATGTAGCTTCTCAGTGACGGCCAAAAGGGCAGTCTCTGTGGAGTGTATTGGTTTGAAGCCAGACTGATTGGGATCTTGGAGGTAGTTCTGTGAGAAATAGAGAGACAGTTGATTGTACACAGTTTGTTCAAGGGTTTCAGAAAGAAAAGAGAGAAGTGATACCGGTCGGTAGTTGCTGATATCAGAGGGATCCAGAGTGGTTTTCTTCAGGTTGTGAATAACCCTTGCTCTCTTGAATGAGGTTGGTACATGATCAAGGAGGTCTTGAGAGATGGTCTGGAGCATTGTGGAAGGGATTGGATCCAATGAGCAGGTGGTAGGATTGCAAGACAAGATGACTTGCAGGATCTCTTCTGTTGCTAGTTTAGAAAAATGTGCCAGAAACAGTGTAGGAGTTGGGGTAGAAGTGAAGGTCTGGCAAATTTTTTCAATCTTCTCATCATAAAAGGTGGCAAAGTCTTCAGCAGTCAGGGAGGACAGAGCAGGAGGAGCCGGTGGGTTAAGCAGTGAAGAAAAGATATTGTGGAGCGTGCAAGGATCCTGTGCAGAGGTTTTCAGCTTTTCCTTGTAGAAGGCAGTCTTAGCAGAATTCACTTCAGATGAGAATTTGGACAGGAGAGCACGGAAAGAGGCAAGATCTGTGTCGAATTGTGACTCTTTCCACTTTCTCTCTGCTGTTCTTAACACTCTCTGATTGCTGGGTAACACATCTGATAGCCAAGGAACAGGGCAGGAAATCTTCCTCGGTTCAGAAGAAAGAGGGCAGAGGAGGTCCATGGATGAGAAAGTGAGGAGAGGAAAGTGTCTGTGGCTAACTGCAATTGTAGGGAGGAAAAGGAGTTAGGGTCAGGAAGGGATGATAGGGTGCAGGATAGGATGGAGAAAGGGGAGATAGAGTGGAGGTTTCTATGAGTGAGAGAGAAGTATTGATAACTGGTTTAGACAAGGTAGGAAGGGTGAGTTTGAAGGATACCAAGTGATGATCAGAGATGTGGAATGGGGCAGCAGTGATGTCTGTAGCTGGAGAGGGGCAGCTGAATACAAGGTCCAAGGTGTTTCCTCCCTTGCATGGGAGGGCAGCTATTGAATGTTAAGGACAAGGAATGTAGAAGAGGGAGAAGACAAGAGGACTGAAGCTTGTTAGAGGGGAGGCTGAAGTCTCTGAGGATAGTAAGAGGGGTGCTGTCAGTAGGAAAAAGACTGAGGAGCAGGTCTATTTTTTAACTACATGGAATTCAAAGGATGGAATGTTGAGATGAGATAAGGAGAGAGGTGTGAAGCACCATCTCCGAGACAATGGCACACCTGTACCACCACCCCTGCCAGCTTCTCGTGGAGCGTGAGAGAAAGCATAAGCAGAGGATAATTCTCTATCTATCTCTATCTACCGCTGCGAAATATGCTTCTGACCGCTACCTAACCTTCAATATATCTTACTGAGACCTGCCCACAATTCACACCTTAAGGGCAACTAAAACTACTCTTGATTAGCCACCTGAGAGAACTAATTAGCATAGACTAACAGACACTTCCAAGCAACACAAGAGAATCAACAATAATACACAGCAATTCTAGTGCCAAGAATCTAGATCCAACTGAGTCAAGTAGATAACACAAAGTCAGAATTCTACCTTACCAGTAGAGAATAAATTCAATAAATACACACACACAAACAAACAAACAAACACACAAATAAATATAAGAAAAAAAAGGCTGTCCCTTTTTCTGGGGTCACCACAGCAGATTTTACAGTTTTTACGCTGGATGCCCTTCCTGACGCAACCCTCCACAATTTTGGGACTGGCACTGAGAGCGCATTGTTGCACGCAACCCCAGTGGCTGGGGCTGGTTCCGTGGCCAGAAGTCGAACCAGGGCCGCAGCAGTAAGAGCGCTGTGGCCTAACCACTAATCCTCCAGGGACCAAAAATATACAGTCAGGTCCATAAATATTGGGACATCGACACAATTCTAACATTTTTGGCTCTGTACACCACCACAATGGATTTCAAATGAAACGAACAAGATGTGCTTTAACTGCAGACTGTCAGCTTTAATTTGAGGCCATACATGCCCACTACCACCATGCTTCACTGATGAGGTGGTATGCTTAGGATCATGAGCAGTTCCTTTCCTTCTGCATACTCTTCTCTTCCCATCACTCTGGTACAAGTTGATCTTGGTCTCATCTGTCCATAGGATGTTGTTCCAGAACTGTGAAGGCTTTTTGTCGTTTGGCAAACTCTAATCTGGCCTTCCTGTTTTTGGTGGTAATGTCATGGCGTGGGCATGTATGGCTGCCAATGGAACTGGTTCTCTTGTATTTATTGATGATGTGAATGCTGACAAAAGCAGCAGGATGAATTCTGAAGTGTTTCGGGCAATATTATCTGCTCATATTCAGCCAAATGCTTCAGAACTCATTGGACGGCGCTTCACAGTGCAGATGGACAATGACCCAAAGCATACTGCAAAAGCAACCAAAGAGTTTTTGAAGGGAAAGAAGTGGACTGTTATGCAATGGCCAAGTCAATCACC